CCTATGTCAAAAAACCTCCCCAAAAAAAAAAAAAAAAATACAATTAAGTGGAATGTGAGAGCAGGAAAACCATCTTACTTTGGTTCCAGGATATATAGTTAATATCACTAAGGATGCAGCATATTTATTACAGTTGCATTGGAAGATTTTTGTCTACTAAAAAGCATTTGGTTATTCAAAACATCCCTGGACTATATGATTTCCAAAAGAAGATCTCATTTGAGAACTGTGAAAAAAATCAAAACCATTTTTTCTTTTAAAAACCCATGTAATAAAATCCTAACAATCTACTTCACACTGAAGTGGGAAAATATCTGAAAGGAGCAGTTTCAATTTCAATGAGGTCAAAGTGCACTATGAAGTGCATCTGCCTTTGCTGCATTTGGGATTTATATGGTTATTTGGTAACACTGTTTAAGAACTCCTGGGTCTTAATACAATCCTGCATAAGAACATAATTTATACTATGTGAAAAAAATAAGACAGGACTTATTACTTGGAACCACAAAGAGAAAACATCATTATTTTTTTTTAAATTGTGTTTTACAAAAAAAAAAAAACACACTTAAATGTGTGCAACTATTTTCTTATGCTGAAAAGACTTTGAAGATTTAAGACACTATAGCAAATAATCGATATTAATTTTTTTGTCCACACTGAAATACTGTGTATGCAAAATACCTCAATTGTTAATAAGTCAATGCTTCATGATACCAAAGCTGTGATAATCAAAACAGCATGGCATTGGAACAGGAACAGACAGGTGGACAAAAGAGGAACAGAATAGAGTCTCCAGAAATAAATTCCCAAACATACAGTCAAGTGATTTTTGACAAAGGATACCAGTCAATCCAGTGGGAAAAGGAAAACCTCTTTAGCAAATGGTGCAGGAAAAACTGGATATCCACCTGCAGAAAGATGAATCTGAACTCCTGTCTCTCACCTTTGACCAAAGTGAACTCAAAGTGGATCAAAGATCTAAACCTAAGACCTCAAACTATAAAACTGCTTCTGGAAAACACTGGGAAAACTCAGGGAGACACTGGAGTAGGCAAAGAATTCTTAAATAAGACCCCCAAAGAACACTCAATAATCCCCAAAATAGACAAATGGGATTACATCAGATTAAGAAGTTTCTGCATGTCAAAAAAAACACAGTAATTAATGTGAATCAACAGCCCTCAGAATGGGAAAATATTTCTGTAACCTATGCTTCAGATAACGGACTGAAAACCAGAATACACAGGAAACTCAAGCAGCTGTCCTGATAAAAGATGATCAACCCTATTAAAAGTTGGAAGAATCAATTGAAAATACCACTAAGGAAGACATACGAATAGCTAAAAGGCATAAGAAAAAATGCTCAACATCCCTCATTATAAGGGAGATGCGGATCAAAACCACAATTAGGTACCACCTAACCCCAGTAAGAATGACTAAGATTAAAAAAAAAAAAAA